AATGCATTGCTTCAGGTAAGCACTTAGCCAGGATTCCCATACACTCAAAGAGAGGCTTCAGAGACTCACTCTGCCAGTGTTGGACAGCGCTGAGAGACTAGAAAATACAGATACACCTTTTGAAAATCGCTTGTGCTTTTTTTTAACTTAAAAAAAAATTATTGAGAATTTTGTACATGCATATAAGGTGTTTTGATCAAATCCACGCCCACTCCCCTCCAACTCCTCCCATATCTCCCCACCACTTTTCCTGACAACTTCCTGTACTCTTTCTTTTTTTCTTTTTTTAATGGGGTTTTTGCTAATCTAACATTACCCCTCTGAATAGGTAACCCTAAAATCTTTTAGGGATTAGATAAGAGCTCCCAAATACTTGTGACATTTTTGGCCTTTGGAACAGAGTATGTTGCTAAGAGGCCCAAGGACATTTTTTGTACACTGTGTTACAGCTTGCAATGCCGAGACTAATTCCTCAGAAGAGGGTAGTATCACTACCAACGTTTTGTCTCTGAGGAGACAAAGTTTCAAAAAGGTTCATTAGCTTTCCCAAGTTCACCCAAGGATCATGAAGCAGTATCTGAACTTCCTAACAGGTTCTGACCAGAGATCATGGATTTTCCACTACATGATTTCTCTTCATTCTTAAGATCTAGTATCTTACTCATGAACTCCAGAAATGAGCAAGTGAGCATCATGCCCTGTTCTTTCTGCCTTTGCCTCATTTGGTTCCTCAGCCTATCCAGACAATTCACTTCAGTGTCTACTCACATTAGAATAAGGATGAACAGTTAAAATTGCTAATCTAAGCTTCTGGGAACTCCAAACCACAAAAGGCCTACTGCCAATTTTTATCAAGTATTTGTTTTCCATAGCCATTTATTCCTTTAATAATCTGTCAACCTGGTTTCAGCCTGTCAAGTTTTGTTATGGTTTGGTTCTTTATTTTTAAATTATTTATTTATTTATTTTATTTTATTTATTTATTTTATGTGTATGTATGTATGCATGTGTGCCTGCATGTAGGTAAGTGCACCCTTGTGCAATGACTGCGGAAGACAGAAGAGGCTGTCGAATCCCCTGGAACTGGAGTTATGGTCAGATTTTTTAGCTACCATGTGGGTGCTGAGATTTGAACCCGGGTCTTCTGCAAGAACAACCAGTGTTCTTAACTGCTGAACCATCTTAATCAGTTTATTCTGCTTGGACTGCTTCTTTCTGTTGCAACCATATTGCTTGACTAGTTAAAATAACTTTCTGTGGTGGCCATTTGTTTTCCCATTGATGGAATAGTATCCTATCTCTGTCTTAAAATACATATACTTGCTATTAAGTATTTTATAAAAAAAAAAGTATGTAGTAAGGGGCCAAACCCTCTATTTCAGTCTATTTTTCTATAATGAAAGACATGGCCTTTGATAGTTTACCAAGATTTCTGTAGGCATTAAATGAGTCGATTTATGCCATACATTCAGAATTGGGTGTGTCACAAGTTTTCAATAAACATTACTTGTGTTCCTGTAGTGTTTAATTATTGATAATTCTGTGAAACATCTTTAACTGTGTACTTTTGTGCATTATGTATTTTGTTAGCTTTGAATCGAACATACTTGCCACTACATGTCACCAATCAAAGTCTTATTTGTGTTCCAAAGGAGCTTCAGTCATAACTGTGTTCCATAAAACTCAGCAAATATTTGCTCTGTGATAGTCACAATGGGAGTGCTGTGGGTTGAAGACTGACGGGGACTGCACTTGTCACTACTTCCATGGTGTTCATTTCTTTACTTCCAAATGTTCTTAACTATTAAGTCATTACTATCACGAACACTCATTTCACTCTATGTCACTTAAACTATTTATATATCTAGATTGGGTGGGACTATGTGGATGAAAAATATGTAATGATTTCCATATGCTCATAGTCTAGTATAGCATATGGCATGTAAAGTGCCCATAATGTTTGCTGAATTAACAGATGCCTGAGTGTAGGCATGCATAAGTGTGCTTACTTTTGTCTATATAAAGCCCTTCTTAATGGTTGAGTAAAATGTAAAGTAATGTGTTCATAAAGCTCCTTTCTACTCACAGATATTTACCTACTGTGTGCCATCTATCAACAAGGCTACTTCCTGAGGAGCCATAAACATAAAATGTTCTCATTCTTTTATCAAAACTTGAACATGGAAACATTTCTGGTCAATACATAGTATATGACAAAGAAAAGCATATAAAAATGAATCATGGGTTTATTAGCGTTAATTCATACAAATAATTTTTATAAGGCAACTTGGAAGACTGATTAACACAGGAAGTTGATGTGAGTCACCACACATAGAGTCGTCACCATAAACATCTGTGCAGAGTTGAGAGGGCATTCCAGAAGCTTCCGCTAGAAAGACAGCGCAGTGCATACCAGGAATACGCAACACCTGGAGCTCAACTGCCTAGTAGAATTCCTCATTCAAACAGTCTATGACGGATAGGCGTCACATAAATACGCCTCATCATCAACTACTTCATAAGAGCAGATGAAAAGAAAGCAGACATGTTCTTAAATTGTGGTAGACAATTAAGTGCACATCTCCCCTGACTCCTTGCTTACATATTTGTTTCTTGTTTGCCTTTGTCAGATTTTCAGGACTGGCTCTATTATTTGTATTATTGAAAACATATATTTACCCAGTTCTAAAATTTAACAAAATATGAAAACAATTGTGTCTAATCCCACAAACCAGAGATATTTCATTAACATTTATTTATGGTTTTCTCTTCCTTATAGACCCATACACATATATTAAGAGGCACATGCAGTTGAAATAGGATATCATTAAACATTATACTCTACAGCCTTCTTTTCTCATTTAATCATATATAAGTAATATTATAAAGGCCATAAATTATAAATATGACATCAACATTCTAATGGTTACTAAATATCCCCATGAACGCAAGCACTCACTACACATTGTTTTGTGAAAGAGCAGTAGAAAACATACAGTTGTTCTCTTAGCCATTAACAAATGTGTACTACTTTTATTCTTCCAACTAAGAATTGAACTAGTAACTCAAGATTGTTCAAAATGAACTAGTACTCATATGATTATAATGAAATGTATTAAGCCCTATAGAAAAGAGAAGCTGGGTGTGGTAGCACACATCTTCAATCCTAGTGTTCAAGACAGAGGCAAGTGGATCTTTATAAGATTGAGGCCAGCCTCTTCTACATACTGAGTTCTAGGCTGACTGGGGCTACTGGGGGGCTCTCTAAAAACAAAACAACACAACACAACAAAATAAAACAAAACAAACAAAAAGAAAAGAAATAAAAAAAGAAGAAAAGAATTGAGTAAGTTTCTCGGGAGACTTGGAGAAAGCTGTACAGAGAAGATAGCACTTAAATTATTCCTTGACTTGTAAATATTGGAACAATCCTTTTCTGCATGCCTACTAAAGAGCTCATTTATGATGAATTAGGATGTTAAAATATCTAAGGAGCACCAACTCATACTAAGTATTTATTGACCAAGCATTGAATGAATATATAAATTTATAAAAATTATTTCTTCTAAAATTTTAATATTAGACATTAATGGTACATAACTTTTGTAAGATATGTAAGATTTAATAACATACTTTGCAGAACCATTACTGGTATCATCTATAAGGGTTAAACTTAAAATTAGCTCACTTGTTGAAGAGGAGTTATTCAAACTGCTGAAGAACAAAAGCTATAGCTCTCTATTATACCATATCATTAAGAATTATTTCTGACAATCAACATTATGACCAAGGTGATATTATTATATGAGTCCCATTATGCACTGAATAGACATTATGACTGAGTGTGCAAGTCAGTCGTATCTTATTCTAGAGCTGTCTGACAAGGAGCTCCATCATGTCACTGTGCTGCCTACCATTTACATACAACATCTAGTTTCAAAGCTTGTTTTATTGATAAAATTTGCATTCCTCAGAACTTCTAAAGACCAGTTTTAGAGAAGGGTAAAGAAAAACTCAGAATATCTACATGACTTATCTAAACTCCCAGAAATATTAATTGACACATTCTACACGTTGAGAATGCTTAACTTCTAGTGATATACCTTATAAACACATTGTTCTTTCTCAAAAAATTTCTGAAACATTATAAATCAGAATAGGTTACAGCTGATCCTCTAAGGCCCAAATAATTATCACCATTACTCAAGTTCTCTTCTACCTTTATAGCCTTTTGTTTTAAAAGCAATAAAGAGGAAGACTTCCCAAATATGCAGTTTCTTATGAAACAATAATGTGTCTTTATCCGTTCCATAAGCAACACCACTCTTTGCTCTTTCTATATTTTTCATTGCATTACATTGTTTACAGAGTTGACCCTCTATGTTCATGACCTTACTCCTAACTGTGTCTGTGTGCTTTAGAATCCTTGACATAGGAGCCACATTGGCTATAAGGAATCAAGCTAGTAACTGGGACTTCTGCATCGTCTATCTCAAGGCAACCTTCAAGTAAAGACTATTTAGTATTTGATTATAAAACTATTTACTTTGTACTAAACCAGGATGAAATAAGGGGCATGCTATACTTTATCACTGAATCCAGGACGTCACCTGAAATTATACTAACTGGCTTTTCCATCTTCTTTATTATGCCTTTTTCATCCTTTTACTGATTTCTCTTCACTAAAACAGGACCTTATTAAATTATTTACACCTATAGCCTTAACTTAAAGTCCCTTATGACAGCAAATCACCATAATTTGTAAACTTTTGTGTGATAGAGTCACATATGATAGACAGTTTGTTCATTAAAATTCAATGATTTAGGGGCTGGAGAGATGGCTCAGCAGTTAAGAGCACTGACTGCTCTTGCAGAGGACCCTGGTTTGATTCCCAGCACCCACATGCCAGCTATAAACCATCCTTAACTCCAGTTCCAGGGGAATCTGAAGCTCTCTTC